ATGTCTTCAGTGCATCAAGGATATCTAGAGATCTAACAACTGGATTGTTTCCAAACCAATTTCATTTGAAAGCTAGTTGTCTCTTTTATATTAAGTCCAATTTTGGGGATGATCAGACGGTGAGAAGGTCTTCATCGGATGGAAACTTTTGACGGTATGAATTTATCCAAAATGATCTTTTGCTCCTAGATGTACTCATTTTGCCTTAATTACCTGAAAAGAGTCTTGGAACTATAAATACTAGAAAACCATACTCAAACCACTTAAAAAATATAAAAAAATTTGAAAATCATTTAAATTCGATCCATAAAAGTGGTCAAAATACAATGTTATCACTACGCTGTCAGATACGAGGAACCCGGGAACAGGTGGCCTATCATGCCGGATCTCCCAAACCCGAATGGATTCGAGGCCCGGTGCTATATGCTTAGGTTGTATTGGGGCGTAAGCCCAATATGAATCCTGATTTGGCCCAGGAGGATCGTACCTGCAAAAAAAGTTATGAATGCCACCTGTAAGCATGTGATTCGTCTACGTAGGAAAGATCAAATTTATCCCAATAATTATACCTCACTTTTTCAAACCAAAGTGAATAAATTTTTTATTTTATTTAATTTCATCTCATTATATATGTTTTCTATGGAAGACAAAAAAAAGCAAGATAGTTAAAATCTATTCTTCTTCTTTAGCTACTTTAATTGATATAAATTTTGAGTTTAATTTACAAATGAAAAAGCAAGATAATAAGCACAAATCTTTGGTATCTAAGAAAAAATAATTTAGAAACCAAGAGAATATATAATTAAAGAATGAACTTTGAAACAAATTAATAATAATAAAAATCGACAAAATAAATATGTTTTACGTTTACTTGAAACATATAGGAGCCGGAATTTTGTCTGGTGGCATATATTGGCTGTGGTAAATTTTCAATGGTTCTTCAATGAGAATAAACCCAAGTGATGATGATTCAATTCTCATACTTACATATTTGCAAACAATATTGAAGTAGCAAACATTATTTTATATCTAAGAAAGCTGGTTTTTACATATATTTTTTTACCTTCATTGTAATGACTTTTTAATCTATGGATAAATTCTTTCTGTTATTTTTTATTCTTTTTATATTTCATCATAGCATACTTTTGATTAAAAACACAAATAAATAGTAAAAATTAATACAACTTACATAAAAAATTTAGTTAATAAATTACATAGAACAACTAAAAAAAAATCATATTAATTTATGGCATAATCTGAATATAAAATGTAATTTTTTGTATCTTTTTGCATTATTCATTTCATGCGATCATGTGAAAATTTTTATGAACATGTGGCAAAAAAAAAAAATTCTTAAATGATTTAACCAATACCAATTTCTGGTTTGTTATCTTATATTATTAATTGACAAGTGTACTTTAAAAAAACATTTGTCTCATGTATTATTTACTTGAATGTCATGCTGAGTTGTAAATCTCAGAAAGTAGGTTCAACTTACTAGATTAATTACATCATATGCTATTAACATTAATTTGGTTAGACATTAGTTTATGTCAACTATACTAAATTATTAGTTTTCCAAAGAAAACATATATATATATATATTAAAAACACAAATAAATAGTAAAAATCAATACAACTTACATAAAAAAAATTAGTAACTGAATCACACAGAACAACTCAAAAAAAAAATTAATCTATGACAATCATAATCTGAAAATAAAATGTAATTTTTGTATCTTTCTCGCATTATTCATTTCATATGATCATGTGAAAAGTTTTTATGAATATGTGGCAAAAAAAAAAATTCTTGAATGATCTAACTAATACAAATTTCTGATTTAATATCTTATATTATTAATTGACAAGGGCACTTTAAAATTGTCTCATGTATTATTTACATGAATGTCATGCTGAGTTGTCAATCCTAGAGAATATTTTAAAGATTTTTTAAAAGTAAGTTCAACTTACTAGATTAATTACATCATATGCCATTAACATTAATTTGGTTAGAAATTAGTTTATATCAATTATACTAAATTATGTATTGGTTTTCCAAAGAAAACATATATATATATATATATATGTTAAATAAAACTATAAAACCTTACAAATTAGATATAATTTTTAAGATTAAAACTGAGATTATTTTTATTCATATTATTACTTTTGTTAATATATATATATAAAATAATATCTTAGTAAATATAATTAATTACATATTTTTATTAAAATAGTAATTAAAATCATATACACACGTAGCGTAGGTGAAAAATCTAGTAATTACTTAAAAGCTCAATATTATGAATTCATTATACAAATGTTACAGTTATACAAATATAACAGTAGTTACTTTTTTATAAAAAAAAAGATTATGAGCTCAGAGTTTTTTCACCTATGGTATTCTATTTTCTATCTTTTTTTCTGCAAAAGTTTTCAACTTTTATGTCTAAAACGTTTAATCGGAGATTTAGCGTCTAACACTTCGTCTACCAATGTTTCACCTGCCAATATAATCTTCAATTTAATCATCAGATTGTGGATTAGTTTCTTTCAACACTTGTGAGAAACATTTTTATCGAAAGACAGTAGTGGAATTATATCATTATCATCCATCAATTCACAACATTACGTTATAAAGAAATGAAGCTTTTTCATCCATGAATGTGATCGCTTAAGCAATGTCGCTAAAATCATTACAATATAAAAGTGGAACGAAAACTGAGAAGAAACAAATAAAGAAAATTGAAAGGCAACATCTTCGAGGTGAAGAAAAGTACCAAATCCAAATTGCTGCGTGGGGGGAGTACAACGTCTGATTCTAATTTTGAAAAACTATAATCTTTTCTATTTCTTTAATTAAAATACAGCAAATAAAAGTTTTGCCTAGTTTTTGTTCTTCTAAATGATCCTTATTAAAAATATATATACAGTAAATATAGTTGTAATTAAATGGATTTCTTTCAAATGCAACCACAATTCTTTTAGTTTTCTTTGTTCAACTTGCACACGCATACTTTCGGATTTAAATCCGTGTAGTACCAAAACGATATCACTATACAACCCACTTAATTATAAACTTCGCTCAAATTTGGTAAATTAACTTTGCTGAAGTTAAAAGAATGTATATTCTTTAGTCACACAATTATGAATATTTATATTAATTTTTTTTTCAGAATAAAAATATGATCAAATCGGAGGGAAGATAGCGCTAGATTAAGAAACCAATTGATTGATATTCGCCATTGGATGTGGAAAGTTCCGAATCGTTTACTGAATCATGTTAAGTACTGCTTATGTCTTACCAAAGAGATCTATACGAAGATGATTTATCTTTTTCTATGTACAATGTTGCTCCTGTTTGGTTATTGAACTCATTGTTTTCCCCTTTTACAGTTTAGCATTAGTGTAAGTATAAGATGTTCAAATTTCAAATCCAGATTAAACAACATAAGTAGTCTCATGCGACCGATAAAAATGACTGCATTCTCTTTTACGTTTTTTTTTTACATTATCTTCCTTAATGTTTAAACAATCATCTTTATTCATTTTCTTTTCTTGTTTTTAATAACAAAATATTAGTGTAACTTTATTTCTAGAGTATAAAAAGATTACATTCTACGAAAAGGAGTAAACATAAATGCTATTTGTACAATTCAAAGTCTGATGCTGGAAAGTTGAAGGCAAAAAAATAGAACAACTTTGGTTTGGCGGACTTTGTGATCTTTATTGCTCGAAGGAAAAAAAAAGAAGAAGAAAAGGCAAAACCACCACTCCAAAGATAAAACATATTACAATAATTTAAGAAAAATAGTTGAAAATAAAGAAGTTAGAGTAGAAAATTGAGTCAGTCCAACATCTTCATAACTTACTCGTTAAGTCAGCCTCTCAAAATCTTTTAAGTTGGGATCGACTTGGACTCTCTTTCAATTTCACTTTTGTTTTCTGAACACACTTTATTTAATTATTCTAATTTCTTAATCATTGCTTATGCATATTTTACTCAAATTTCTTATTTTTGAAATTGTATGTAATTTTTTTTTTTTGAGTTAAACTTGTATGTTATCCCGACAATATTATTTCATATGAGAAATTTTATAGACAAATAAATGTCTGATCCCACGATGATATATAGACGCTCTTACATTTGTGAGATATATATCTATCTATTCTTGATTTACCTTATTTTGATAAAAATATATAACATAATATATATATATATACTTTATTTTGATAAAAAGATATAACATAATATATATATATATATATTCCTAGCTATATTTGTTTTCTTTTTCAACGTATTCATATAAAAAGGACATTAAATCTATAAAATTTTAGGTTGCACGTGAAAAAAATTTTAGTTACACTTTTTTTTGGTACATTCATATTTAAGACATACATTACATTAGTATAATTTCACATGCTAGGGTATAAAAATCTGATCCCATGATTTCTTGCATTTATGATATATACCTGATCCAAAACATCTACGTTTTTTTTTTATCTAAGTTGTTTTTTTTTCTACAGATTGAGCGCTCAAAGTTTCTAGGTTAAATTTATACTATATTATGTCGCATAAGATACAGTCTCTATTGTGACAGTACCACGTACGGTAAGTGTGTTGGAGCTATTAGACCATATAACTTTATTATTTCATTTTGGGAGAAAAACTCAATAACCTTTACCCAAAAAAAGAAGAGTAAGTTACTTTCTTATAGAGAAAGAAAAGTTATATTCAAAATCTTATTAACGTTGACTGCATGGGTACATGCACAACAATTCACCGGCGATCTAGCATTTTTTATTTAAAAATAAATAAAACTAATTGAACTCCAACATTGAATTGGCAGTTAAGTAACAATAAATTTATCAATTTATCTCTTCAAATTAATAGTACATGAAAAGTAGTTAAAGGAAAAGTAGAATCCTCTTTTGCCGAACTAAAGGTGACACTCATACAAGTATATAAAGAACCTAAACCAAACACCAAGCATATCGATAAAAGAAGTTATACTGATGGACATTTCTACGCAGAGATTTGCCATGAACGGAAGAAGTATGAGACTCCCTCCTGGGTTTCGGTTTGATCCCGATGACGAAGATCTTGTGTTCGAGTATCTCGCCAAGAAAGTCCTCCACCGTCCGATGGACTTCGACCTCCCTGAGCTCCGTTCTTGCAATGTTGATCCTTGGGACTTGCTAGGTTTATACTCCAAACTGATATTTCTCTAATTACTATACCATGTCAAATTAAAAATGTTGTGATTTAACAGATGTTACGTACGTATACATTGTTTTGTAGGAGAGAAGAACAAGGAAGTGTATTACTTTGTGAAGAAGGAAGAGCGAGAGAGAAAGGGAAGAGAGACTTTGTCGGGTTATTGGGAAGAGTGTGAAGAAGAGGAACTAATGGAGTCTGGTGATCACGATTGTAACCATTTAGAAGGAAGGAGAAAGACATTTGCTTTCTATATTGGCAAAAGACCAAGAGGAACAATCACTCCATGGATCATGTATGAGTTCCGGCTTCTTTCCTCTAGAGCTACAAGGCTGCCTCGGGTAAGCCATTGGTCCCTAAGTTAATTATGGACACATTCTTTAAATAAAAAATATATATATATATATATATATGGACACATTCATGTTATTATGTTTCTATGGGGCCAAAAACTATTTAATAGAAAACTTATAAAAAAAATTGTTTTATGATTTGGAGGCCAATTATTCGTAAATATGAACTCTTTAAATTTTGGGGGCAGTGTATGTTTCATCTCGCTCCTTCGTAATTGTTTTGAACAATTATAAAGACAATGTTTTGATAATTAATTTTGGTTAATGTTTTGGGGTTTCAGGGTGAGGTAGGGAAATGGAGGGCGGTGAAGATAGTCGTGAAGGAAGATAATGAGGAGGAGATCGAGGAGGATGAGCATGCGTCAGACGAGTCAGATGGCGAAGAAGTTGTTCAAAGCCGGTGACAATGCCATATATATTTTGTACACAAATGGTTTAAATGTGGAGAATCATTTGAATTTAGTTAGTAAGTAGTAACTTAGTATTGGTAGAATATTAGGGAACATCTAAATGAAAACGAGGTTGCTTAATTTGTCCTTAATTTTCTTCCTAGCCCTTTGGAATGTAATAGAGAATGTGGAGATGAAGATGCCACAAGTTGCTTTCATTCTGTCGTCTATTTATTAATTATCTATTATCCTTTATCATTGGTTTTTAACTTTTTATTTTGAACTCCAGATTCCTGAATCCAGGGTCCCTTAAAATCTATACATGGTTAGCTCATGGGGATTATTGACTTGATTTGATATATTTTCTATTTTATTTGTTCTAAAATCCATACTGTATATCAGTATATATATAGTTAGCTCATGCGACCAACGATGTATGTTTTTATAAATTTTTTAATGATACATATCTGGATGGTAAAAATCATTTCATCTTTCTCAATTTGAATCATTCCTTGTTTTATTCTTTTCTGCAGTATCACAGTTCGAGAAACTCGATAATATCAACATAATTGTATCGACTGAACCAATGTAACTAGAATAATCTCAACTAGCCCTCATTGTTGGTTTAACTTGTGTTAAATTTAACTTAGGTCTGACCGGTTTAAACGCAGTCGTTGCGGTTGCTAGTGTGGAAGTTTGCGGAAGCGGGCGATTGTGGTTTTAAGCGTTATTAAGTGGTTTGTATGACTGGTTAAATTTTTTAAGGCGAATCTGTTTGCAGGATATTTTTGACTGGCAAAAACCAGCGATTGTTTTAGCGGTCAAACATAAAATTACCAAAATAAACATCAAAAATAATTATAAAAATATAAAACTATATTCTTATGCTTAATATCTGAATTATAATTAATAAAAATATAAATAAATACTATATAATTACTTTTAAAACTAATAAATTTTATAATAACATATTATATTTTAATTGTTGGGAACATTACTCAAAATTGTGTTTAGTAATGTAAATATTAGTAGGGTTATGGTTTTATATTCATATTCATATTCTTTTGTAAGTACGTATGGATCCGACGCCGTCGAAAATCCTTTGGTAAAATCATTTTCTGAGGGATTTCCAATGGTTTTGAGTGTCCGAGATAGCCTGTTTCTTTAGTTGGGTAAGTCTTTGTATGCACATCAATAGAAAACCCTTAACCAGCTGGTTACACCCAAAAAAAAAAAAAAATAGATTTCTTGTTTTTTGATTTATTTAGTATTAAATAGAGAAGAAGATTCGTCTAAAACAAAAGATTAAGATACGTTCAAGGCTAATGCGTTTACCAATACAGTAAATTAGAGATCAAACTTATCTGGAAATTCAGGAGGGACTATAACAATAAGTCAATATTCAAAAGAAGACAACAAGAATGAAGATGTCACTTAGATAAGAACCAACTCATGCATTTGTCTAAATAAATCACTAATTACCAAATTTAGCAAATAAATTGCAACTAACCAATCATCCCATCACACAATCTCAACCCTTTAATAATCTCACATTCTCTCCCTCCTTCTTCTCCGATTCCTAAATATTTATCTTCCATTGAGCATCCTCCCATTTCACTGGCTCTCTTCTTTCCTTTCTTATAACGTTTTTAGATCCTTCTCCCGCCACCCACCCGCCGCCGTATGATATCTTTGGTGGCGGCCATACCACCATCTATTTATTAGTTTTATTGATATGGGTTGCGGTGGTTCGAGGTTAGGATGTGGGGCGGCGGCAAGGGCGGAAGAGGGCGGCGTTGTGCCACTTCCGGCGGGAATACGTCCACTTCTCCGGCGGAGGCTAGAGGAGATGAAGAAACGGAGCCACGCAAGCGTCTTGAAAGGGAACCAGACGCTGTCTAAGAAGGAGCTTCTCCGGCATGGCTCCTCCGATGACGGAGAAGAGACGGAGGAAGCCGACGACAGCTTGAAGTTGTCGGCTAAGGTGGCTCCGGCGCCTGATCATCACGTCGAAGAGAAGAAAGAGGTTATTTATGAGAAGATTTCGTCGAGAAATCATGATGTTGAAGAGGTGAAAGAGGAGGAAGAGGTTGTGAAGAAACAAGATGAGGAAAATCATGATGATGGTGTTGATAAGGTCATCAATGTTAAGAAGGAAGAAGATGATGGTATTAATCATGATGGTGATCATGATAAAGTCATCAATGATGGTGATCATGATAAAGTCATCAATGTTAAGAAGGAAGAAGATGATGGTGAAGCGACGATGAGCAACTTAGACGAGAGGATGATATGTTGTGGATCTCCAAGCTTTAGGGTTTATTGCGTCGATGTTACTTCTTCTTCTGATGATGATGATGGTAAGTTATATGTTCTTTATACTAGTTTTACATATATATATATATATATATATATATGTAGAAGTAAACGTACCAAATAAAAATGCATGCACTTGCACGTCACACGTATGTATGATTGCTATAAGTATATTTTTATTTTGAATGCCTTTTATGGAAACTATATAGATATTACGTAGCTTTTGTCTTATGTTTAATTTGCTCTATGGTTTTCGATGCATAATAAGCTTCATTGAAACAATCATTCTCTTTTGCAGAAAAAGATGTTGAAGACACGAGAAAGTCTATGGAAACCGAAAGCGTCATCATAGAGCCAAAAGAGGTGAAATTATTATTATTTATAATTTAAGCAACGTACGAATACAAAAAAGTGAATGACATTCATCTTTTTGATCTATGAGGCTCTCTAGTAAATGATAAATTTGTAATTTGATTAAAATATAACACAATTTTATAGGATGAAAGCATCGTCGTCAAAAAAGTGAAAAGAGGAAGAAAAGTGAAAAGATTCGGAATAGCATTGCCCAGGAAGTATTTAGCAAATGTGACTGCACCGTGCTATGCGGGTGGAGGATGCATGGGCAACAACACTCATTCTCGTCTGGTGCAAGAGAAATCGAGCCAGTGATCGATCAAATAATATTAATTTGCCATCTTTGAATTGATTTGTTGAAAGTAAGGACGATGATGAGTGGTGTACGTACGCAAACCACTAATAAGCTTTTTAGAACTTTGATTTGTTTCGAGAGACTATTGTTTTGTACAACCTCTTCTTCACCTTTGCTTTCTCTCAGGATAAGTTAATGTATAGTGTGTGACGAATTTTACTCTTTTTCTTTTCACGTGCAAAAGATGTAAGTATTTGAACTTGTGCAATAAAAAAAAATGTTGTTTAATTGTAGCTGTGTTTTATCTTTTCTTTTTTTGGTTAAATGTGAAAATTATATACTATCCAACCAAAAAAATGTTTACATTATCCCTTTAGACAGTAATTGGCGTAGTTGTTTCTCCAACAGTCGAGTGACACTATCAAACGAACGAATGAAGTGGGTTAGTGGTTAAGCGCATGTATTGGTGTTCCTTATTCGATTCCTGATAAAAGCATGTCATAAAGTCTTAGCAAAGGTTGGTTCGGGCCATAGGAGGGATTATGGGCTAAATCGGGCCATAGATCATCCTTCTCATCTTTTGAGATACCTCATCACTTTTGAGTCTAATTCTCCTCTTGTATCTTGGTGTAAGCTGGCATAAACTTTGAATTCTTAAACACACTTTTGTTGCTAGTTTTTTGCATTAGATAAAAATTCAACTATAATGAGATCATTTAGATGGGGACTGTCGGTGAATTCATGTTGCATTCATTGCAAAAGGGCAAAATCGTGTGCTTGCATGTGGGGATAAATTTAATCATTCCTACGTAGACGAATTGCCTGTTTGCACATGGTGGTCATGACTTTTTTGCAAGTACGCCCCCTGAGCCAAATTAGGATTCATACTGGGCTTACGTCCCAATACGAACTAAGCATATATTATTGGACTATGAATCCATTAAGATTCAGGAGATTCAGTACAATAAGCCACCTGTTCTCGGATTTCTCGTATCTGACAGCACAAGCCACGCTGTCAAGGACAAGAAATTCGGAAACTGAGTGGTCAGGAGAAAGAGATGTCACCTTCTCTATGTCCTAAACCTAAACTTGATAATCCAGAAGGATCGGGATATAAGAAAAAGTGATCCGCACAGGTCCAAGTATGAATAAACCTATAAGCGGGAAACACTATTCAAATTTCCCTCCATTCGAAAATAAGAAAATGTCTTAGTCTAACTTGATTGCCCACACCCTTACAAACCCATATGATTGACATTAATGCATCTTTGTTACACATGTCAGGCGAAAGTGATTATTCGCAGAAATCAGAGAAAAAAGCAGAGGTTCAGCAAGAGCTATACCGCGCCTGAACCGCCGATCCAACCCGTACACTGAGGGCGAAAGGGACACGGCAAGAAGCAGTCTCGTAGTAGGCAGAACATGTCAAGAAAAGTTGGTGAGACCGTCAAAAGTATGACGCAAGCACAAGATTCGAATCCAGTCAAGTCGGGTCGTGGACCGACCCACCCGAATCATGATCCACAGACTAACCCGGTATACTAACCCAAGTCAACTAAAATCCTATAAATACTTTGTCTCTTCCAACGAGGAAGAGAGTCACTTTTTTAGCCATCTTAAAGTTCATAATATCTCTTTAGATACTTGTGAGTCTTAGGCACTAGCACCTTATACTTTTCCATTCACTATTCTAGTAATCTCTTCATTTTCTCTCCACGACGGTTCCTAAACCATGGAGTTTTTCTACCAACAAACTCTTCTTCTCTTCTCTTTTCACTTAAAAAGCACATCACCACTAAAGGCCCGAGTCGTTTCCGCATTTCTCAGGCACGCTCGGTCCACTTTACTTCTCACGTTTTGTGATCTCTTTCAACTCTCTGATTTGCCACTCAATGGTCTTTCTAATTAATTGTTTTCTAACTTGAGCGTCGGAGAGCCTTTGAAAAACACACCCCATTGTATTTTCCGGGCCTTCACGTGTTTCTTAGTTTTACAAAAGACTTGCTCCTGCAGAGGACCAAATATCCCGTAAACAATCACCTATGTTTTATGGCTTTGATTGGTAAGCTAGAGAATAACAGAATGATATTTTTAAAATACAATTCCACAAGCATTTTAATCTACAAAATACACGAAGTAAAAAGTAAAACACAAAAAGTCTGCATAAATGAAAATTAAACATAAACACAAAAAGACTGCATTTTTGCTTATATAAAATACAAATAAACGAAAATGAAAAAGAAAAGTGAGTTTATTATTTTATATATGGAACTAGTTGAATTAGTTAAATTTATACATTATCTAATTATAAAATATAATTAGTAATATTTTTACTTCTTAAATAGCTAACTATATTATATCTCGTGCGCTTGCATGCACGTGAATCATTTATACTATTAAAAGGAAAGAACTTTTTTGTATCAAAATAGAATTAAGATTATTCTGTTACCAAACAAGTAAATTTAGTGTACTATTAATAACATAATATATTGTTAATTTATATTTTAAAATCCAAGAATTTAAATTTACGTTAGATTTGTTATAAATTTTCTTAAATATATGTTATATTATTTATTAAAAATCATAAAATAAGTTATTATCATATCATTACAAATAATATAAACCGGATATTAATTTATATGTTCATATGTTTTTAATATTATACGTGTTAGAATTAGTTTTTAATAATCATGGTCTTTTTCGAATTAATATATATATACATGTTAGAATGACGGTTATATAATCATGATTTTTTTCAGATTAATATGAACAGACATGTTAGAATAATGTTTTTCTAATCGCAATCATATATAATACTAAAAAATATAAATCAATACAAACAATTTTATATATAACAGAAATTTTTTTTATCATTTATTAGAAAATTATATTTATATAAAAACAAAAAACAAATTATATTAAAATTTTTGATAAATTAAAATAATTTTCGTGCAAATGTACGGAGTAAAATCTAGTTTTTAAAATTTGTTCAAGTGTATGTCGTTTGTTTAGATTTATTTTTTCATTTAAATATTATTTCTAGTATTTTATATAATTATAATTATAAAAACATAATTTTAATCCGATCGTTTTATTAATCTGAATCGTGATTATAAAAAATATATTAATCTACTCGTTTATATTACAATAATATATCATTTATCATCTGTTAATATGAAAATATTATTTAAATTTGAATATTTAAATTAAACTAAAACTAATGTCATATTTATTATTTTTATAAAAATATATATTAGAACAATTAATTTTGTGATTTTTAATAACTAATTTAAGCTATATTTATTGAAATCAAAACTAATCTAAATTAAAATTTGAGTTTTGAAATTATTTTTAAATATAAATTAAAAATATTTTTATTAAAATTATATTAAAATAATTTGTTTGGAAATAAGAATAATAGTTTTTTTTTTAACATCTGAAATAAGAATAATAGTTATCTTTTTTGTTGTCGTCCAATTCGATTATATCGAAAGCCCAAAGGCAAGTTACAGCAATTACAAAAGCCAAAGATACAAAAATAAGCCCAAATAATATCCAAAACCTATGAGATAAGGTTTGAGTATTAAACAACACGTGGAATACACGTGGAACTCTTGGGTTGAATGTTGACTGCCGGTGAGAAGATGCCGCCGATCTCATCGCCGTTCAGAGCTTCGCCTAACAACCGATATCCGAAAAGTCTTCTGAATAAACTCCAATCGGATTCACATCCTCCTTTTAACTGCTGCTCCTTTGCCAAATTCTTTCTCCATTAAAATCCAGCGATTGTTGATGTTGAAAAATTAACTTCATCATTATTCTCCACCACCGACCATCTTTATCTCAAAACCCATCCCTTTACCTTGAAGGCTAACATAGGGATTTAGGGAAGAACTATCTTCCAGTCAAGAGAGGATGATATTAACATTTGATGAAGTGAAATCACAACTCCCACCACTGGATCTGAAGCACCGCCTCATTTATAAGAGGAACCAAACATCGGAGAAGATAGGGCAAAACAAATCCGATCATGTCGGAATTTTGTACCGGTTTTTGCCAGAAATTATTATCCGATAACGGAAACAAAAGATCCGAACAAACGCCAGAAAAACTAGAAACAAAACAAAACTATTTTACACAGATCTGGACTTGCCGGAATTTATTTTCCGAGAAGCATTTACAGCACGGTACCGACGTCGGATTAACGCCGGCACCGGCCAAAAAGAAAACGAAGAACACGAAAGAAAAATTTCAGAAAGAATAGAGGATTTTTTAGAAGAGATGAATAATAGTTATCTAAAAACTGAATAGACTAAAATAAAGGAAATTATGTTTGGACAAAAATGTTTTTTTAATAGAATAGATAAATATTTGTGTAATGATTAAATTGGATGATATAATATTATTAGATTTTTTATATATATTATGAATATATCATAAAATAAGTAAGAAATAATTACAATGAGAAAATAAGTCTTTTCAAACTAGTGTAGTAATTGAACTTTAGATTATCAAGTACACGTTTTAGTTATTTTCCCGTTTCTTTTTTTTTTTTCATTAAAAAAGTTTAAAACCCGTAAAAGGTTTTGTGCTTCATCTTCTTCTACTCGCCTAAATCCGTCACAGTTGCGAAAAACTGGGTTTTCTATCTCGCTGATTCGTAATTTGGTTTCCAGATCCAGAGTCGAAAATGGAGTCACAGCAATCGAATTTGCTCCCCGAAGTCGATTCCTTGCCCGATGGATTCGTCGACGGAGCTGCGGAGCCACCTCTCATTTCTCCGGTGGCCGAGGAAGAAAATCGTATCACAACAAAGCATCAAGCCGATGATGTGTCGATTGAGAAATCAGAGAAGCCCAGGACATTTCCCGTTCCGTTGTGTGAAGAAACGGACGACGTAGATGACCTAATTCAGGTCTCGAGCGAGCTTAGCTTAGAGCAGAAAGAAGCTCCTCCTCCTCCTGATTGCCAAACATGTGAGAGATGTGAAACGAACATATTCTCAAATTCCTTTTTTTGGGTATTTTACCTTCTTTTGTAACCTAACTTTGCTTCTTTGCTTTTGGGTTTAGTATCAGAAGGGTCAACTCAGAATCCAATCTTGTCTAAGGACAAAGAATCGGCCTCGACTCAGAGTATGGATTCACTCAAACCCAGAAAACAAGTTAGTATTTTGATGTGCTATTCCACATTTTTTGTTATCTAGCACAAAATTGATTATCAGTTTGAATATCTTGATAGGATTCTCTATATCATGCCTTTTGGGTTGCATTTTCTTGTTAGATTTATTTATTTTGGTTAATGTCAGATAATTAGCAGTCCTTGCGTCTAGAATCCTTTCTGTGTTCATTGTTGCTTGGACAATTGATTAACTATCCCAAATGTCATTGATATCAACTTGATAAGATTCTCTGTATCATACCTTTTCGATTGTGACTCCTTGTTAGATTCCAAGCAATAGTAGAATTTGCCAATTGCATTAATGCTAAAACCAAGATTCTGGATGTTAGATGATAAGCAGGCCTTGTATCCAAAATTCTCTGTGTTCACATTTTATGCGAGTTGCTTAAGCTAGATTGAAAAGGGACAAGACAATTTTAAGTGTAATAAAGTTCAGTGTTCTCCTTTGCTTATTGTTGCTGTTCCTGATTTCTGCTGATGTTAAAAGCAGGAGGCAGTTGAGACAAAGCGTAAAGGTTCAAAGAATATGTTCAAATCAGAAAAAGAGTTTCTCGAATTCATGCTGAAGTATCAGCAAGTCCTTTCTGAAAGAGATTCTGGTAATAGGAAATCAGTAAAACCAGTTTTGCCTTTGATTGTTCTTTATAGTCTCTACTCATCAGTCATCACTGAACACTAATGACGATGTTTTTAATTGTTTTTCTCCTTTCTTTGTTTTAGCTATTACTGTCCGTGACAAGCTTGAGTCTCTTTGTAGAGAGTTACAACGTCAGAACAAAATGTTGATGGTATGCTGTTTTTTTTTTTTTTTTTTTTTTCTCTTGCTTACTCTATCTGTCGTCTTGTTTTGAGTGTAAATTGGATGTTCCTTTGTATAACAGGAAGAATGCAAGCGAGTGTCAACTGAGGGACAAACGTTAAGATCAGATTTATCGACAAAGTTCCAGGAAGCAATAAAGGTCGTTGAACACATTTTTCGTTGTGAATTATTCCCAGGTTTTTGATCTTTGCTGAATCTTAAAAATTTGCGCCACTTTGCCATTGGTATTGGCAGTTCTGAAGAGGAAGAAATATTGTGTTATAACTTTCTTTTTTTTTTCTTAGGCAAATCCTACGCTCCTCGTTCTTGAACCTTGTTCTATTCCCTTAGTATCTCCTTTAATCTTCTGTGCTATATGCTTGGGATTGTCAGGGAAATAACCTTCTTCTTCTTCGTTAATATGTTCAGGGATTGACACATATTAGTATCGAAATCTCACAGAATTATTTAATCCTTGGAAAATATTGGAACTCACTTAAATAAAGTAGAAAAGAGTCCATATTAGTTTCATCTAGATGGATACGCTGAAATAGACTGACAGAAATTAGTTTGATGAATTTTCTTGTAGGATTTTGCAATATCAGACACTTACAAAAATCACTATTTGATTATTTTCTTGTTGGTTACACTCTTGACCTTACGAATCTCTCTTTGGCTATAGGATGTGAGCATTAAGTTGGACGAGCAAAAGGATGAAAGCCTCTCACAACTAAAAGAAAATGAGATGTAAGCCAAACAAATTTAAATCACCACGTTTTCTATTGTAGAAGAGTAGAAATATTTAGTATATGTACAGTTTTGTTGCAGATTTATGTAGAAATCAGTATGAATATGCTCTCTCACACATACTGCAAACTATATACTTGCATGGATATCACTTTAAAAACGGCTTTACTTGCATCAGCTCGATATAGCATTATTTAGAGGTCCTTATCAATTTCAGTGGTTTTGTTTCCTAATCTCCAGGTTGAGGACGAAGTTGAAGCACCTGGCTGATCAATATATGCTTTCAGAACAACAACATGAGCAAAGAGTATAATTATATCCCAACTATACATGAAGCATCATTTTAGCTATAATTATTGGCTTGTAACTGTAATGTATATATACCTGATAACATCCCATTTTTGAAATGAACAGTTGAAGCAGAAAACACTCGAGCTACAGATTTCTGAGTTAAAAATCAAGCAGCACGAGGAGAAACTCATCCATGAAAAATCTCAGATGAAAGTTTACGCAGATCAAGTTTCTCAGCTTTTAGCAACTGAGAAAAACTTGCGGTTGCAGCTAACATCTGATGGAGAGAAATTCCAGCAGTTCCAGGTCTCCTCTCTTCCCCTTTATACGCTTCCTTTATCGTCTTCTCGATTCAATATAATCACCACCGATAATAAGATTCCTTGATTTGGGTGTGTGAAGCTTAAACATAAAAAATGAAACACGATTATATGCAGGACGCATTGGTAAAGAGCAACGAGGTGTTTGAAACATTCAAACAAGAAATCGAGAAGGTAAAAACGCCATTCCATGTCTTCATCGTTTTTTATGAAAGTTCTGAAGTGCCATGTCTGTGAGCTTAGTTACTTACTGATCCTGTCTCTATACTGGTGTTTTCTTGAGTAGATGTCAAAAGCAATCAAAGAACTCAGGAAAGAAAACGCATTTTTGAAGAGCAAAACCGAGAAATCGGATCTTTCTCTCATAGAACTCGTCGAAGAGGTAAAAACCGAAACCGTCTTTTCTCACCATTTTATCAATCAGTGAAAAACACTAACTCTTATGGTTTTCAACAATGAAACAGCGTGAAAGATTGAAGAAACTGTTGGAGAAGACAAAGAATCAGAAAGATAAGCTTGAATCACTTTGCAGATCACTTCAAGCTGAAAGAAAGCAAAAAGAAACTACCAGTAGCGATTCTGTACAAGCTTGATACAAACAGAGATTATGATTTTAGATATTTTGTTTGTTTGTTTTTTCTTTTGTTGGATTTTTAAACTAATTAGCTCACTTTTTTAAAAAAAAGCCATGTCAAATTAATGATTTTTGCCCTTTGCGAGCTAATTAAGTATATTTTTTCACTCTAATAATTAATAAATTAAGAATATATCTCACCATTTTCGTATATTCCAACAGTAATTTAATAGCATATATTTGGTCGTCGACTTTTATAAACTTCAACCATGGCATAAAAAAGTTGAGAAAAGAAAAGAGAAAAAAGAAAAAAGTATAATAGGGAATGTCAACCATTGATCTTGACCGGTAGTGAATAATCGTACGGCTCCTGTAATTTGGTGAAGAAGACCTACTCTTATTATATATCATCTAATTGAAATGTCTTGTGCTGTGTTGTTGTTGTTGTTACAAAAAAAAACAGTGCCCTTTCGCTCAAGCTTTGAGTCGTCTCTTCCTCTCAATCGAATCCGCCGTCTCCGATCGCTATTTTCGCAGGCGCGGTAGATCGTATCAAGCTCAGGTAATCATTTCACGTCTCCTTGTTCACTCGTCCTTTGCTTTCTCCGGATTACGATTCATTCCTCTATTCGTTTTGTCTCGTTTTTTCTTTTTTAGAAAATTTTTGACGATTGTTAGATCTACAGGGATTTTGTTCATCCGTATCGTAAATGATTACTGATTTTTTGTTCTTCAGTTAGAGAAAATGTGGGGAATCTTGAGACAGAGAGCCGTCGATGGAGGCTTTTCTGCGTCGGTAAGAGGCTTTTACTCTTCATTTGTTCAGTACGGATACGATTTTTTTTTTTTTTGTGGAGTTTCTGGGATCGGATTTATGGTTTTTTTTTTTTTTTCGTTCTTTCGCAATTGTCTGATTTCGAAATGGATGTTGAACAGTCTCTGAGAAGGACGCGATCGGCTTTGGTTTCCGCAAGGAGCTACGCTGCTGGTGCTAAAGAGGTAATGTCTTTTACCGAATTGAGCTACCTTTCTATCGAGTTTTGATCAATTTAGAATGATCACCTCTTCACTTCTCCTTTGGATGATAGATAAATGTCGTCTTCTGCGAATTGTGTCGCTTGCCTTTTTGTTGTTTTCTCTTAGACATCGGGTTTTAGAGAGTAATAAATCGTTGAATAGATGAAGGAAACTGCACGTATCTGGCTTTGCAAACAGTGAGCATCTAAGAAACGCGAAGGATAGGCTATCATAGAACAGCTGTTAATGACTCTTGGTTTTCTCTCCTGTGTTCTGTCACTGAAAATGTTGGATTTTAGAAGACTAGGATCGTTATTATGACTAACAATTTAGAATCTAAACAAATTTAGCTGAAATTAGAATTTGATGTACACTTTGAGAGCCCACTGTTTAGTTCATATAGGAGCTGACTAGTAAAACGCAGCTGATAAAGCTGATGTAAACTCCAGTCTTTGTCAATATTTCTGAAAGATAGTGTTCCTTGTGTATGGAATTTCTCAAAATAAATTTAATATCGCTTACATTTTTGTATGCATATATCCTTGTTTAGATGACAGTCAGAGATGCTCTAAATTCTGCAATTGATGAGGAAATGTCTGCAGATCCTAAAGTATTTGTCATGGGTGAAGAGGTTAGTTTCAGCTGACAGGTTTTATACTTTGATCTGGCATTTCTAATCAGATATCTATAATTAATATTTTGTCGTCTTTTTAGGTTGGCCAATATCAAGGTGCCTACAAGGTTAGAATTTTTTGACCTGATGGAAACAGAATTTTCTAGTTAAATTTTCTTTTGAATTGACGCTGATCTGATGCTGGAGGTTTGTCATGTACTCATAGATCACTAAAGGCCTTTTGGAGAAATATGGTCCTGAGAGAGTTTACGATACCCCTATTACCGAGGTTTGGATTACTTATATTATTATTAATTCTTTTTTGTTCAGATGCAATTCTTATGTCTATGTTTCTAGAGTGGGAAGATTTCTGACAGTCATCTTTTTAATTATGTTTTTAGGCTGGATTTACTGGAATTGGAGTTGGTGCCGCCTATGCTGGATTAAAACCTGTTGTAGAATTCATGACGTTTAACTTCTCTATGCAGGTTAGTGTTGGTTTTTACTCTATTTTTCTAATACTACATTTTTCCTCTTCCTCTTGTTGCATAATGGGATCATGCACTGTGGTGCAAATATGCTTCCAGACATCATTGGCTTTATTTTCGTTTGGCGTCTTATCATTAATGACATTAAAGTTTACGAAATCTCTATTTATATCTGTTTGTGTGTCCTAACATCTATTGGACTTCTTTCAGGCAATTGATCATATCATCAATTCTGCTGCAAAGTCAAATTACATGTCTGCTGGACAGATAAATGTACCTATCGTCTTTAGAGGACCCAATGGTGCTGCTGCTGGTGTTGGGGCTCAGCATTCTCAGGTAAACGCTAATGCAAATTCTGTACAACATACTTTTTTCTTCACCAAAAAGAAAATGAATAATTTGTTGTTTCGCATTCTCTTAAACTCTACCCTCTGCTTATGTGAAAATGATTATGATATTCAAGTTGGATCAAGGAATTAGCTTTGCCTTTAACATTAATCAAAATTTCCCTAACATGATCGATACATGCATTTTGGTGGTATCACTGTTCGTGTAGTGGTACTATTCACTGTATAACTAACATGATCAGTACAAGGATTCAAGAATGATCCATGTTTACTACTAGTTGTGACCATGTATCTTTATCTCTGGATGCTAATTGGAGATATTCTGATCTACATTTTGTAGTGCTATGCTGCATGGTACGCCTCAGTTCCTGGTTTGAAAGTTCTCGCTCCATATTCAGCCGAAGATGCTCGTGGTCTTCTTAAAGCTGCCATTAGAGACCCTGACCCTGTTGTCTTCCTCGAAAACGAGTTACTGTAAGTAGTGTACCTAATTTGAGCTTTAGTTTTGAAGTTCATTTAATTAGAGCCTTCAGTCACATTACAATTTTGATTTCATCATCCAGATACGGTGAGTCATTTCCAATTTCGGAAGAAGCACTTGATTCAAGTTTCTGTCTCCCCATAGGCAAAGCCAAGGTACTATCACTCGCCTTATTTTTTTTCGTGCTTCTTCTGTTTAGCTGTTAGATGCTTTAATGCTGTATTGGCCTTTGACAGATTGAACGAGAAGGAAAGGATGTAACTATCACAACTTTCTCGAAGATGGTCGGTTTCGCCCTCAAGGTTTGCTACTTTCACAAGCACCTTTCAGTATTTCAAACTATTTTTGCTAGTTTCCTGCCTATAACAAGCTTTGCTATTTTACGAAATCGGTGCTAGTCTTTCTTCTGTCTCTGATACTTTGAATGTTACCTGATTCTAGGCAGCTGAGAAGCTCGCAGAAGAGGGTATAAGTGCTGAGGTAATGAAGATTTTTCGGATTTTTCTGTCTTCTGATTCTGCTTGAAAACTGATACGTGAACTCTAAAAGTTTGTTTTTAATAAATATTCTGAAGGTGATAAATCTTCGATCAATCCGTCCGCTAGACAGAGCGACCATCAATGCTTCAGTGAGAAAAACAAGTAGATTGGTAACAGTTGAAGAAGGTTTCCCTCAACATGGAGTCTGTGCAGAGATCTGGTTTACTTCATTTTCTTGACTCAAACAAAAACAGTTTTTCGATATAGTAAGTTTAAAATTATGGATTAATTTTTTTTGTTATGGACCAGTGCTTCGGTTGTAGAGGAGAGCTTTTCATACTTGGATGCACCGGTCGAGAGGATCGCAGGAGCTGATGTTCCAATGCCTTATGCAGCTAACTTAGAGAGATTGGCTCTTCCTCAGGTCTGTCTCTTATTTGCATAAAAAGTAAAAACTTTTTGTTCAAATGTAAATGTTTCCTTTTTTTTATTCAATGTATTTGAAAACATTGATTGGTATGCAGGTAGAGGATATCGTTCGAGCAGCAAAGAGAGCTTGTTACAGATCCAAATAAGATGATGATCATTTCAAGAAACCACCACTCAACAAATTTCTTCTTTGATCGTTAAAAAAGAAAGGAAAATAAGAAAAAGGAGGAAAAATGAATCTCTCTCTCACTTTTGCTACAAAACCACCATTCCTCGTGATTTTATTTTATCTTTTGCTATTATTCTTCTTAATCCTCGATTTGGTTTTCGTTTTTGCAAATCTTTTTGTCTTTCCCAAATTGAAGATTCTAATCTTTTGGGTTAATTGATAAATTGATCGAGAACGCTAGTGAAGGAGTTCATAACACCTGTTTTCCTACTTCCTTTTGTCGAATAATGGCCGCACAACGAATCCCTCACCGAATAATGAATGTGGTGCGCCTAATTCCTGTTTTGTATATAATCTATAAATTTATGAACTAATCATTTCCCGTTTAGCTTTTCAGTTTTGGTTCCCAGTTAACACTATGCATAACTAAAACATAATCGACGATTTGGTAATCACTGTGAATTTGGTCATATAATGATAACTTGTTACTATGCTTTTGCACGGTTGACGTAAAAACTTACAACTAACTATTACTCAAAGCGGATGTCAACAACAACAATCTTGTATATTTAATCATGAAGATGTTCATCTATGAAACCCACCTCTCTCTCAAATTCAAACAAAATTCCTATCATGTTTCTCTTTTTGTTTCTGAATGGCACAAAGACATGATGAAATACTCTAGAGAAAGCACATATGTTTGCAGACCATGACATGTGACCATCTATTAAATGGTCCAAAAGGTACACATAAGTCTTTGTTCATCTTTATCGCGGAAGCAGTGGAATAGTAGACATTAAAAATCTTCCATCTGCATTAGCATCACGATGTGCAACTTAATTGATACAATGTGGAGAGAAAACATTGTGCATCACAACATTCCATCAACCTCAACCCATAATATCAGCAAGGGTTGTAGTTTTGTACTGGTGAAAGACTATATTCATGGTCTTCTAAGAGGTACACAAAAGCTTCAGTTTTTGCTAATTGTTCATAAACTTGAATATATATCTCAGTATTTTATTTCCATGTAGCATTCACATGCTCGAAATTGATTTAAATAGACCGTATTCTTTCCGAGCATAATTAGGACAAAGATTAGTTCATACTGAGTCCTAGTGCTAAGAATTGAATCGTTATGTTGAGATTACAGTGTATAAAATGTGTCTTTGAAAACCAAACAAAAAAAATCATAAAAAGATTCAGAAATATGGATAAAAAAACTTAATTTCAGAAAATTTTTCACAAAATATAATTTAAACTATGATTAAACTAGTTTTGTTGTAATAAATAAACTTTAAGGTTATAAAATTTTGAAAAATGTCAACACATTTCCAATCCACAAATTCTAATTTGTTGTTATTCACTTCTATTACTTGTTAAGGAAGTCATCTCATATTCTATAATATTTTTTCTTTTCTGTTCTTTCCTGCATAAGAATTATGATTTTGTGGATGAAAAGCCTTGCACTATATCATGGACAAAGATGAGTTTCCAAAAGTTTGAAATCAATTAAGAGTTTTGTCTTATTGACATAATAATGGCTTCTTGTTTGGTTTTTAAAAGAAAACCAAATTGATTTTTTCTTTTGCAGATGCATGAAGACAAAGTGGAAGAAAGCAATAGTCAAAATGTTTGAATATCCAATCTTTGAAGCCTCAAAAACCCATCTCAACAACTATACAATTTTTAAAGTAGGATTCTAGAACTACATGAACTGTGTTTTTACATAAGAGTCAAAAACCACATTTCCATTTCTGCTCTATCTCTCTTTCTATTCTACTACAAAGAATATGAACTTCAACCAACCTTTCAGAAATTAAAATTGGAAACAAATATCTTTATTTTGATGAACTAATACAATTCTCAACTCATTTCCTGTATCCTATTATCTGCGGACCCCAAAAACTTCTGATCTGCTCTTGAAAAGTAAGTCCATCGATAGCCCAAGCGCTGGAGGAGGTTTAAGCCCCCATATGTACTTTCTAGAAGAAGAAGCAAGAGCCCCGTTTTTGTTTGAAATCTTTCTCATTGATGTCCCTTCCCCGACCTTGAGTGATCTTGATGAGCCAAAAGAAGTCTCAGGCTTTGCACCAAATAGTGAGCTTTTCTTTGACTGATCTTCCACTGGGTACCCAACTGCACCGTCCTGGTGAGGAGGCGGGAACTTCTCACTCTTGCTCTTTCCATGTGTTTGTGGTACAACTCTCCATCTCTGCAAAACACAGTAGCAAGGGAAAACATTACAGTGAGAAAGAATTACATACACAAATATTAATTATATATATTTGTCTATGTGTGTGTGCATAAGGATGAATGAGATAAAAAAAAACAAGATTTTCTCACATCCAAGTTTGCTTGAATCTCAGCATTAGCTTCTGGGGCTGGAATAGCACGCCCAGTGCGATCTCCACGAAACCTTATTCTTCTAGCTCCTTCAACACCACTAGATTTTCCAGCAAGACCCTTTTGCCTAGAAGTATGACAAATGTAACCACAAGACAAGACCAATTACAATCAAATTAATCAATAACATGAGAATATAGAAAACAGATAAAAGAAGATGTAAAAACTAGTTACCTTCTTGCCTCTTCGTCCCTCAGCTTTACATTCAGTTCTTTGGAAGGCGGATACTTTGGTAAACTTGATGGATCACATGCCAACGGTTCAGTCGTAAAGAACTGCACACACAAACCAAAATAAAAGAATGCTTTTCTCATGAAGTGTTTTTGCTAGCATAACATCTACTCACAAACTAACCGGCTTTTCTTCTTTTCCCAACCAAAGTAATTTAAAATAATGGAAGATCACTCACTTCACTATTCAAGGCTGAGGTAGAAGTTCCTCGATCATCAGGGTCAATAGCCAAAAGTGTCTCGACTAAATGCACAGAGGATGGAGTGAACCCATTAAAGGCTTCAGAGACACAACGTTTGTACGGATGCTGCGGCTTAAACAGAGTCGCGTTCGGCAATTTATACTTCTTCCAGTACAAATCTGATGGTGAGCCACATAATTTAAATATCTTATGAAGTTGTTCGACCTACCAACAAAAAAAAACAAATTAGGTAAGAAATAAACGGTAAACAAACAACCTCATTAATATTCAGTTGTACATTGCATTTATTGTCCAAGACTCCAAGATTCGTGTAGTTGGTTTCCAAAGGATAAATCAATTCACCAAGAAGCATTAAACTAAGACAAAAGGCCCTACAAGAATGTCTAAGCAGACTAACAAGAACAAGATTAAACACGGTTCTTGTTTACCTCGGTTCTTCCTGGCATAACGGGCTTGCCAGCAAGTAACTCTGCCATAATACAACCAGCACTCCAAAGATCAACACCGATTCCATAGTTGGTAGCTCCAAGAAGAAGCTCGGGAGGTCGGTACCAGAGCGTGACAACACGACTAGTCATTGTTTGCTTTTGCTTTGGGTCATAAAACGTAGCTAACCCAAAATCAGCAATCTTCAGTGTTCCATCGTTATCTATCAAAAGATTAGAACCTTTGATATCTCGATGTAATACTCCTCGGCTATGGCAATGCTCTAGTCCAGATAGTAGCTGTTTCATAAAGCACTTCACCTAAACAACAACAACAAAAAAGAAAGAAAACTCCACCATTAAAGCTTATAATATTCATATACAAGTTGGTATCTTTGTTTATAAACTTTTTCAGACTAATCTGTTTCTTAATTCTGCAACTTAAGATTATGCAATAATATCAATATGCATAGATAATAAAAGAACCAAATCCAATGAATGACAATTCATAAAGGACGTTGAAATTCACCAGAAACCAGAAACCAGAAACCAGAAACATAATGGGTCCACAGACAAATCATTATAACTTCACCAAAGGCACAATATAAACAAAACCAAGCAAGACGCAAACATGACCATATGTGACCAAAACAGGATCTGTGGACCTAAAGACAAAATAAAATAAAAAGACATCAGAAAAGAAACCTAAAAACATCAAATTCATAATTACCACTTATACTTGGAAGCATATCAACATTTCACACCAACTTCATACATGTAATTAATCATTTATCTTCTGTAAAACAATGCATTGTATGTGGTAAGAAACGAAACGAAAAAACGAAAACACACACCTGAGGAAGATCAAATTTAACACCTTGAGTTGCAGCAAGGCCAGAGAGATCATGCTCCATGTACTCAAAAACAAGGTAGAGGCTACACGAAACCCTTGAAGCAACTAAACCTTCAAGCTTTATAACATTAGGATGGTTTAACCGTCGCAGCACAAGAATCTCTCTTGCCATGAACTTAACACTCTCTGCTTCCAAATTATCAAACCTCACTTTCTTCAAAGCTACGATTTTTCCAGTCAATAGATCTTTCGCCTTGTACACATTGCTGTAAGTTCCTTGCCCAATCTAAAAAAAAAAAATTCTAAAGATTGTCATTAACAACAAAACAAAAATGTATCATTAAGCAAATAAACTAATCAAGAAAAAATAAATTAATTGGATGTAAAGCTAGAAACTTTCTAATTATACCATCAAAGATTTCATCATTTCTTGTTTATGATTAGTGTGTAATCATCATTCATTAAGAACAAAACAACAAAGAGTATAATTAAGCAAATAAACTAATCAAGAAAAAGGAAATTAATTGGATGTAAAGCTCGAAACTTTCTAATATTGCCTCAAAGATTTCATCATTTATTGTTAATGATTAGTGTTTTGATTACTTAATTTAATGCTAATCTTTGATGATTAGTGTTTTGGTTACCTTCTCGAGCTTCTCGTAAGTGGTGGCTCGGCGAGGAGTCAAGTCTTTGATCGATTCGCCGCAAGCAGCAATTAGCCACGGTGGCCAAACTTCCGGAGCACGGAGGCTCATTCCAAACGGCCGACGAGAAGAGCCAGCCGAGAAATCGCCAGTGTGCCACGTTCTCGCCGTTTGAATCTGAATCGAATCCAAACCCGAATTCTTCTTCTTCTCTCCGGTATCGAGCTCCGGTACAGACACGGTGGTGGAGGAAGAAGGCAAATCCTCCGCCTTAGATTCACGGCGGTGGAGGTTTCCCGGAGCAGTTTCATTGGGATTCCGTTTCTCTCCGGCGGAATTTTTGCAGCAAACGCAGCCCATTGGCCTAAAAAATCGTTTGAATCGCAAAAAGTTCTTCTTTTTCTTTAGCTTATCATATCTCCGTGATCGGTAAACCGATGAATTGATTTCAGCTTTTTGTGTGTTTTTGTCTTCTCACTTCGAAAGATACATTACACAGTGAGAAAATGGTGAATCGCTAAACGACAACGTTTTGGACTCAGTCGAGTCTTTGGCACGTAGTAGAGTGAAATAAAATGGTGGTTTTCTGTTAATACTTTACGAGTAGTTCTATTTTACGATTTTTTTTAGATTAATCTGAGATTTGACAATGGACATCTCTCTATATGTATAGCTTAAGAGAGTTGTGAAAAATAAATTAAAGATTAAATCTACTTTTGCTGCCATGGAATTTTGGTATTTCCGTATTTGTTGTATAGAAAGGCCTGCCTAAAGGTGAATAAAGTTGGAAACAAAAAAGCCTTTTTTATCATCTGTAAGAAATTAAAGCCCCAAAAAGTTATTCTACTTTTTTTTTTCTGTTCAAATAGATTTGACTTTGTTGTTTCTTTCTTTATCAAAATTCTTTTTATGCTTTTATGTCATTATTTTTTGTGTGACATCAGAGACGCATGTAAACGATAAAATTAATTTGAAAATCAGTACTGTTACGAAAAAAGTCTATGTTGTAATATTTCCATCTATTTGAATTGAGGTTAGGGATGTCAAACAGACCGATGACTCAGTGAAACCAACTCAACAATATTCGCTAGGGTATTGGTTTGGACATAAATTTCTATGTTTATTAAGTCTTCATGGTTAAAGAATTACGAAAGTTAATCCATAAAAAGTTTGTTGTTTTGGTCTATAGAGTATAGATTCGATTAGATTAGTATTCATTCAAGTTGAATCCTTTTGTATCAGATGCAATATATCAACAAATCGAAATGATAATCTTAAACATTCGTCGATGCTGCAAATGCTGACAACGATTGACGAGTGTTTCATGATTCGTTGACTTTAAAGCATCAAATAAAAAAAAATCAGGGTAAATTCAGCAACAAAATTTTAAATTACAGATTTTTTTTAGAATGACATAAATTTAACTAAGATTTAAATAAAATGGCAGCTTGTGCAAATCTCTCAAAATCTAAATTAAAATATGTAGTTGATCTTATGTCACTTTAGTTAGAACAACAACAAGTTTCAATTGAGAAAAATCTCATATAAAAATCTACGAACACTTACACAAGTGTTCGTAGATATCTTTGACAGAGCATCGTAGTTTCGAATCTGGTACAAATTTACAATCATTCAATTTAGTCCTAAAGATTTTTATAGAATATACTTCAGCAAGAACCAACCAACAATTGAATATAAATATGGACGAAATATTGGTCTAAACCTAAAGCCGCTCTTAGATTCTTTCCTCATTGCTGCATACTCCACTTCACTTATTTACAATATTATTATTATTAATATTATCATTATTCTATTATAAAATTCGAAATCATTTTATTGAGAAATAAACATTAAAGCAACTTCATAATCATTATATATCAAGGAATGCTCCACTATAAATTGATTTATGCAAAACAAAAGTCATAAACTTTTATGAGTTTTGACTATGGAGTTACACTAGTCTCCCCCGAAGCCTAATTTAAAATTCGAGTGTTCTCAAAGAGCCAAACCAAATAAAAAGTTAAAAAAAAAAACCAAAACCAAAACGAATAAAAAGTAAGAAAACTAAAGACCCATGAGGCCATGACGACGAGAAAGCTTATGCACGTTTTGTCGAGGAAAGAGAGTGTTTGCCAAGACTAGGTGAGTTCTTCAAATACAAATGATTCAAAATTAATTCAGTACTAGATTTTAGAATTTTGTTTTAATCAAAATTTGTAATTTAATTTATGTATTCTTTATAAATATAATTTTTAATAAGTAATATAAAAAATTGTGTTTAGATATATATATATTTTTTTCAGTATTATTATGACTATCATGATCATAAAAACATAATTTTAACCTGATTATTTTATTAATCAAAAAGTAATCGTTATTATAAAAATATATTTTTAATCCGTTCATTTTATTAATCCGAAAAAGACTATGATTATGAAACCATAATTTAACCCGCCCATTTATATTACTTTAAATATTTATAGATTGCATTTAGTAAAAAATTTACTAATTTTGAAATAATTTTCCCCTAATATCTTGCATGCTTTGATAACCTAATCTGCATAAGACTATAATTATAAAAAAAACTTAATTTATCCCATCAAATTATTATATAATATTAATATTTATCTATTTTTAATATGTGAAATTTTAATCTGATAGAATATGATTAAAAAAATATAATAAAATATTTGTTAATTAAATATGTTATTCTGAAAATCTTATTTAAATTTCAAATTTTAAATTAAATTTAATTTATATTTAAGGAAGTCTATTTAAATTAATATGTATAGACTATAGATATAATCTATATTTATTTTTTTTTAGTTATTTAAATTAATATCTAATTTTTGAAATTAAATTTATATATATAAATAAATATTTTTAAAAAAAACTTTGGAAGTATTTGAAAATAAACACTAACGTGATTCTGTTTTAATATAATAAATTTATTAATTTGAGTAAATTATATTAATAAAATAATGGGAAAATTTGAAAAGGCAGAAGGATGTAAATGGATGGGTCAACAATGGAATTTATTGGTAGTTGAGTTTCAAACCAAATTATACGTTTGGCTTTCTTGTTCACTAAATGCAATGCCTTTAATGGTTCAACCTCTCTCTCTGCCTTCGACTGATTCACACTTGGTTTCAGTTTTCACTAACCAAAAAAACTAGAAGTGTTAAATCTGAATGTTAGTTGGATTTGGATGGTTTGATAACATTATGGTTTATAATGAACTTTAATTTGGTTCGGATGGTTTATCTTGAATGGATGGTTTGATAACATTATGGTTTTGCTTTGAATTTAATCTTATATCAAATACTGATACATTAGTTAAGAAGTTTAGAATGAATTGTGTATTTTTCTTTCGCTTTATTCAGTCCGGTTTCAGTTCAGATAACAAAAAGTTAATCAATTGTGGTACACGGTTCAAATTTTAGATTGGTTATTGCAGTTTGGTTTCAGATCAGTTTGGTTTATTTGAATTGAACATAAACCCGGTTAGCTATTAGAAATACACCGGTTCTATCACGAAAAACAACCAATTCTATCAATCAGAATTCAGAAGACATTTGATTAATCATCATGAATAAACCTGACACACTCCATGCTCACTGATCCACTAGATATAATCTGTTTTATAGATTGCATTTAGTAAAAAATTTCATAGAAGTTTCACTCTTTATCATCAGACAAGAGCAAAATCTCACAACATTAAGTTAACAGCCCAAATTAATATCATATCTAGCGCCAATGAGGCCTGTTTTGATAGAATCTAACCAGAACAGAGCTTTTCCAATGCCAGATTCTCATCTCCACCACTTGATTCAATTGCGCTCCTAACCTGAGCATCTCCAAAACCCATCTCCACGAGTCTCTTGACCTGTGACAAAATCAAATCCGATACAAACCTTTTAATACACAAACCAGACACTGCATTTTTACTCAAACCATTAGATATAGATAGTCATATCAACAACTCACTTTTTCCTCTAGCGAAGAGTTCTTGGCGAATGTTTCGGTCCAGTAACGAGCTGTTGATACAAACACTTGATAGTTCTTGATGTACTGTAAACATCAGAGAGATCAGAATTGGTTCAAAGTGACTTATTAAAAGGGAAAGAACCGAAGATGATTAAGGTAATGTACTCGAACCTGTTCAGCTACAACAGCATCTTGAGGGTCTTTGGGCTCTGGTGTAGAGAGTAATGCCTGGATCGAAACAAGAGCTGTCTTCAAAGTAAGAGCTGGACTCCACTGGTCTTTCAGGACATCCAAGCATATTGCCCCGCTTTGGCTACTTATGTTCGGGTGCCTTCGGGTTTTAATTAAGACGAATCAACGAAGATAGAGCATTTATTACCACATAATTCATTGTCTAAATATCTTACGAGTCAATAGAGAATTGATATACCTTAACACAAGCCGAATTAGTAATGGTAAAATGTATGTAAAGAGAAAGTTGAAGAGAACCTTAAAACAACTCTACCAAAGACCAAACTTCTGGCCACAGATAATATGAGATTATAATGTATATGAGACAGCAAAAACTGAGACTAAAGAGTTATGCATAGTAATGATACAATCTCTATAATAGATGCAGAAACTGTAATACTATAGGTTTAAGTTCCTTCACTTATCAAACATACATACAGATACATATTTTGCGAGAGATTGATATAAGAACCAGAGTCATCTTCTTACCAAACTTTGGTTGAAAATTGCATCTTTGGAGGCTCAAATGGATACCCTTCTGCAATTTTTGAGGAAATGATAAACTAATAAAAAGATTGATTGATGGAAATCACACAATACGAATCATAAGACCCATAAACCCTAGAATATGAACTCATAAACCCATTCACCACAATAGCAAAATTCGAGAAGGATTTCACTTTCCGCACACGAAATTTCGAAACCCCCTAACTCAATTGAAGCAAAAACAAGTGAAATCCCCAAACTTTTATCACTAATCAAAAGCGTATAGACGAAAATTTTCGTTTTCGGACCTGGAATCGTGATATCGATCTGAAAAGTGCCGCCTTCGTAAGGAGTACCGATTGGACCAGGGATGGTTCCGGTGAGTCGGGTAAGGTTATCGGATTTCGGGCTGACCCGGATACCCGAAGCATCCTTGTCTTTCTCGCAATCTTGGAGCTCCTTCTGGACTCGACTGAAATCGATCATTTTTTTTCGAGAATGTTAAGAGATCCGATTGAAAATCCCCAAAACGAGATAATGGAACAAAGCCCTTTAATGAGTTAGTTTGCGAATTAAAAAGAGCTTCTTTTCTTGCATCATAAGGGATTATCGAACAGCCACTTTATTTCTACTTTTTGTAATTTTCTGTGTGTTTTTCTCACAAATTTCTTTCCCTACACTCATCAATTGAGAAAAAAAAACTACAAAACCGAGGCCGAAAAAAACAAAATACTAAACCGAAATAAACCAAAAGCGAAATCTGATTTTTATTAGAGATTTTTATCCAGATTCGAGTTTTTGAGATACTTAAAACGGCTTGGTTTGGTAGTCCAAACCGAAGATACCGAGTTTACATCTTGAGAATAGATCTATATATTTTGTGCTAAATTGTCCATTTTTGTATCCTTCATACGTGAAACGTGTAAAATTAAAAAAAAAAATGAAAGTCTCACATTTCACAATATTCTCCAAGTATAAGTCAAATGCTAACCATCTCTCTAGTATCGACATCATTTTCACCAATTCCGAACAATATATTGCACTTCTATAAATTAATAATACAAATTTCTATAGAATAATAATATAAAATAATAATATTTTATTAATTGATCTTAGATTTTTGTTCATATTCTTCTTTTTTTTAATAAAAATGATGTTATATTTAAAAATATTAACGAATCTGCTTATTAAATTACATGCATAAATTTAAAATTAAAATTATTAATCTTACATATAGTAAACACAATAAAAGATTGTTACTTGTAAATTTGATTATTCAAATAAAAATATACATATTTAGTAGTACAAAATTTATAAAAAATTATAGTTAATCTTTGGTAGTTATTATAAAATTGAAGATAATACTACAATACATTTGAAAACATTTAAGCGTAAAATGCTATTGAAAGTATAGAGATGGTGTTCAATGAAATTTTAACATTAAGTAAAATAAACAACATGTTAGTCATATTTTAGTATTAGGTAGTAATCCGCGCGGAGTGAGATTTATCTTTTTTTTTATATAGATTTATTTCAGAAAATATTATATTTAAAAAATTAATTAGATATAAGTATAAATTATATGATAGTTATGATTAATTAGCTTTGATTTTTTTTGTCAAATATTCTTGTGATTTGTTTAACGCATAGAAATTATATTATTAAAATACATACATAATATATTAATAAATATTTGTAATATCATTACATAACTAAAAATGCATATATGACAATGATAACATGCCTCAAAATATATTTGTTGATAGAATCATGGAACCGATAGGAGCTAAGGATGAGGAACAAGTCGAGGTTCAGCCCGGAACACAAGACCAAATGGCCGAGCTAAACGAAGACGAGGTTCAGGACGGGGTACAAGACCGAGGAGCCAACCAGAACGACGTCCTGGCCATGCCAACTGGACCGATGACCAGGTCGCGTACCAAGAAGCTCACGGGAGCAATCCAACAAGTTCTTACCGAGCTAAAGACCCAAGGCCGAGCTGACGATCTAACACCCGTTCACAAAGTCATGACCGTGCTCATGTATTCTGGTCCGAACTGACCTGGTTGGGGGTGTTGTGTTAATACTCTTTTTCTTTACATTCGGTTTTGTCCCACTGGGTTTTCCGAATGGGGTTTTAACAAGGTTAATGCACGCCCATCTCACGACCATAGTTTGATTCGCGGCCAAAGTATAACGGTCAAGGAGCTCAAAGGTCTAGCGAGAGGACGCGAAGGGTCATCCGGAAATCCAATCGTTATTCAACGCATCTAGTCTCATTTAGTTTCATTTAATGTCCTTTAATTTCTGTAATGACCTATGGTCTTCCTTTTAGCCTCTATATAAAGGCATCGATGTATTCAGAACCACATGACTTATCTTTTTATAAAAATTTCTCTTTGAGTTTTCTCTTTTGTTCTCTAAGAACTTTGTCGATATTTTGGTGGTTAACCATTGATCGATCTTCGGTTTATCAAGTAGTTTCATCCTGCTTGACGTAGCCTTCGATTCCAAAGTGAGAAAGAGAGTTGTAGTCATATTTGGGGCTTAGGGAATTTCGGGACTCGTCTCACACCCTAACATCCGGTATCGCAACCCCCTTGATCGTTTCGTCCATCCCCTCGTTTCCAACCTCTTCTTTGGAATTGGGCCTAAGGATTTTCTAGCTCTCGCTCACGCCTTAGCATCTCTTCCACCGAACCGGACTGGATCCAAGGATCTATCAACCTCCACCGAACCAAGTGTGTGACAATCCTAGGACGGTCTTCTATCAAGTGGTATCAGAGCCACGCACTTGTGAATCGGTACTATCTTTCTTTTATTTTAGAATTCAATCTTTTCTCATCTTTTCTTGTGTAAATCGTAAAAAAAAAAAGAGGAAATTCGAAAAAAAAAAAAAAACGATCTGAATTCTTCTCTTTCTATCTATTCTCTTGTCTCTTAAAACGTCCAACTTGCTTGATTCACCGATTCGATTGAGGCTTAAGTCGATTTGTCGATTTAGTTTGCTTAGAACCGGAGAGAAACTCTAGTGTGTTGTGAGGTCATTAAGAGAGTGAGTGAACAAAGAGGGAAACACTTGTGAGGAATTTGATTACTAACGTGTTTGTTTAATTTTTGCGAGGTACTTGTATGTCATCCGATTTCTCTTTGGACGACTGTGAATTCTACACGTTCCGAGACGGTAATCACGTTCGCTGGATCACCCCTAAGGAGATGGAGGCTAAGCTTAATCAAATCACCGAGATGATGGAGCGCATGAGCCAACGTATGGAACGGCTTGAAGGTCAGCCGAGGCCAGCGGAAGTAAACGATCAAAACCGTGAGGAACCTATGCACATCCGCCGAGATCGGAACCAGGAACCTGAGGTCGACAACCCTTTCTACAAAGATAACCATTCCTCTGGTAGTAGCCGAGTGAGACCGCAAGGCAACCGAATGTTCCGTGGCCGAGCTGGAGGAATCCGAGACCGAGGACACGCCATGCCTGCGAGAAACCCAAACGACTGATATGAGGGAGGACGGCCACAACAGCGTTACAAAGCCGAACCGGCTAGAGGCCGAAACGACAATGACCTCGGAGGAATGAAGCTCCGGATTCCAGCGTTCTACGGCAAGAGCGATCGGGACGCATTCCTGGAATGGGAAAAGAAGGTTGACATCATCTTTGGATGTCAAGAACTTCCGGAGAGGAAGAAGATAAACCTAGCTGCATCAGAGTTCAACGGATACGCGATCGATTGGTGGGATCAGATTGTGATCAGTAGAAGAAGAAACGGAGAACGACCTGTTGAAACCTAGGAATGGCCGCCTTGATGAGGCAACGGTTCGTGCCCGCGCATTACCAACGTGAGTTACACACCAAACTCAGACGTCTTACTCAAGGAACCAAGTCTGTGGAAGACTATCACCAGGAGATGGAGAGGCTTATGATCAAAGCTGATGTCTTTGAACCGGAGGACGCAACGATGGCAAGATTCTTGAGCGGTCTAAACCGAGATCTCCAAGACCGAATAGAACTACAAGAATACCAAGACATGTACGAGATGTTACATAAGGCAATCCTCTTGGAGCAACAACTCAGACGCAAGGGAACAAATCGGTTCACTGCTGGAACTAGCTCGCGACCGACCTACCGAGACGACAAGGTGGTCTACCCGACACGGCCAAAGTTCGAAGCCAAGCCCGGTCAAAGCACCGACCTCAAAGGCAAAGCCGAGGTCAACTCAGCCCGGACTCGAGATATCGAATGCTTCAAATGCCGAGGCAAGGGTCACTATGCGAATAAATGCCCAAACCAGAGAGCTATGATTCTTTTAGACACCGGAGAGGTCGTGTCCGAGGCAGAAAACGAATCCGAGCCAAAATATAATGAGGAGCCCGAGGAGGAGTATGCGGCTGGAGGAGAGCTACTGGTAGCACGGCGAGTGCTAGTGTCACAAGAGCCGGTCCGAGAAGAGGATCAAAGGGAAAATCTTTTCCACACAAGATGTATAGTCATGGGGAAGACCTGCAGCATGGTCATAGATGGAGGGAGTTGCACAAATGTGGCGAGCCAGAGCATGGTGGAGAAGCTCGGGATGCAAACCATCAAACATCCGCATCCGTACAACCTCAGATGGCTTAACAACCAAAAGCAACTCAAGGTTACCAAGCAAGTCACCGTCCCATTCAAGATTGGGCGATATGAAGACGAGGTGTTATGCGATGTTCTACCCATGGAGGCCGGACACATCCTGTTAGGACGGCCGTGGCAGTTCGATCGGAAAGCAGTCCATGACGGGTTCACCAATAAACATTCGTTTGAACACCAAGGACGGAAGGTCGTGCTGGCGCCTTTATCCCCACACGAGGTATATCTGGATCAAATCCAATTGGAAAGTAGTAACAAAGGCAAAGCTACCATGAGCGACCCCCTAAACACCTCCACTAAAAATGAGAGTGAAACACTGAGTGAGCCACCACAAAAAGCCTTAAACACTCAACCCGTGAGAAGAGAGACTCTTTTTGTGAGGCCGAGAGAGATAAAACAGGCTGTGCTTGAGAGGCAACCTTTCATCTTGCTTATGTTCAAATCCGCTTTGGCTAGCACGTCAAACTCCGAGCCGAAACTTCCGAGCAGGATTTCTTGGGTTTTGCAGGACTATGCGGATGTATTTCCCGAAGACAATCCAGGCGGACTACCACCGATCCGAGGTATTGAACACCAGATTGACCTCGTCCCTGGAGCGTCCTTACCTAACCGACCTGCGTACCGCACCAATCCGACTGAGACCAAGGAACTCCAACGTCAGGTCGACGAACTGATGGCCAAGGGCTACATCCGCGAGAGTCTAAGTCCTTGTGCCGTGCCCGTGCTCTTAGTGCCTAAGAAGGATGGAACTTGGCGAATGTGTGTTGATTTCCGAGCTATCAACAACATCACGGTAAAGTATCGCCACCCAATCCCACGTCTTGATGACATGCTAGATGAACTATATGGGTCAAGTGTGTTCACAAAGATAGATTTAAAGAGTGGTTACCATCAGATCCGAATGAAGGAAGGAGATGAGTGGAAGACCGCGTTCAAAACCAAGGATGGTTTGTATGAATGGTTGGTCATGCCATTCGGCCTAACTAACGCATCTAGTACCTTTATGCGATTAATGAACCA